GAGAGAGAGAGAGATCGACATAGACGCGAGAGCGGTGACGTTAATCGTGAGTAAGACTTTGAGAGAGGTGGAGCAACCGCTCGTCGAGACACGAAGGGTGGTTCGTTCTTTAGCCTTTAAGTACGTTTCGCATCCATCCCAAAAACTTGCTTTGGCGCGGGCGATACGCACATATTGTCCTTGTTCACTTCTTCGTATTGTTTTCGCCTGGACGGGAAAGGCGTGTAGCATTTGGCACACTCTGGCCGACTAATACTTGGGTACTACTCGCTAATATATGTACATGTTACACGGTGCTTCGAGGGTGTCTCGTTCAACCTCTATGCGTGCCTTGATACATGCGTGCGCGATACGTGTGGAAACTCGCGGACGTACAGAGAAAACAAAAGTCAATCTACTCTGCCTCCTCGTTCAACTTTAAAGCGAGGAATCGCCGTTTCACTCTCGATTGTGCGTGACGACACGTGGTCCGTCACGGTGATCGACATGGTCGGCATTTGAAACGCGAACGCTAACGGATCGCACCTATTGCGAGTACGCGTATTGAAAATGTAACGTTATCATTATTTAAAACGTTTAAAAGAACCGGAACTAATTAATTAATTTCAGACTTTTAGGCTAAGGTCGATGAGTCGAATGATATTTCCTCACCGCTCGTTTCGTCCCGGTATAATAAATCGCGAGTTCTTTTTCCAATACAAATGATCTGTTTATACAGAGTTTTAAGTTTTTTTTTTTCTCTGTACGTTCACGTACGTGCAACGCGCGCGCGAATACGTGCGTGTGCATCCTGGCTTTTTGGGCCAGCGACCTTGCTCGTGAAAGGGAGTTAGCAGCGCGGTGGCGGCGGTGGCGACGGCGCCGGCCGACGAGTACTCTGCGTGCCCGAGGTCAGTGCTCTCTCCTGGTCCTTGGCTGTCCGTGTTCGTAAGGTCTCCCTTCGCCTTCGAGGTCGACCAGAATCTGTGCGTACGTACGCGCGCGCGTGCACGCGAGTGCGTGAGAAATAAGGTGGGGGAGGAGAAGGAAAAAAAAAGAGAAGAGAGAAAGAGATGCGAGAAAACATGAGGATGGTGGAGGAGTTGGGTGAGGAGGAGGCGGCTTTCGTTCCTTGGGACGCTTTATCCTGCTTGGCATTGACCTTGAAATTGTGTCGCCCTATTGTTCCCTCCGCTGACTGCACAACCTCCGTTGCCGGGGTTTACCTAGCGAAGCGACGGACCGCCAACCACCCGTGCCCCGTGTGCGGGAAGCACTACGTCAACGAGGGTAGCCTTAGGAAGCATCTGGCCTGCCATCCTGAGACCAGTCAACTTAGCACGAGCCTCAGGATGTGGCCGTGCTCGGTGTGCCAGGCCGTCTTCACTCATGAAAGCGGTAAGTATTTAGCCCCATGTAAAACCGCGAATCCGGACGGGCCGATCGGTGCCCGACGGTAGCTCCGGTTCGTAGTTGACAGTAAACCCTCTTCAGTTTCGTTTTGTGCTGTAAACTTATAATTTTCGTTCTATAGAATATAATTGTATACCAAGTGACATTTATCGACACATATATCCGCGATTATCGTACGATCATCTTTCTATATACTGTGACCACGTTCGTTTTCCTCTGGTGTTAAGGTCTCCTGAGCCACATGGAGCACATGAGGATGGATCCGAAGCATCAGTTTGCGGCGCAATATGTGCTGAGCCGCGCGGCCGCCGAAAGGCGGGAAAGGGAGATTCTCGCGAGTTCGAGTTTAGGTATAACAGAAATAAACGTTTCTCATCTTACGTTAAGAAATTAAGAAACGGCGTGTCGCGTTGTTAAGAAAATATGAGATTTGCGATACGACGCCGATGACCGAGCGGTGCTCTAACGTGACGCCCTTACGCTGTACAGGAGCTGGTTTGGGCGTGTTGGGGGGAAGTCAGTCCGGAGGACCACAAAATTTGCAACAACCACCAATGTGCCCGTCGCCGTCGGCCCATTCGGACAGCAGTAGCGGCAACGGAAGACTCTCGTCGGCCGGTAGTGAACCTGGTACGCTACGATACTTGTTCTACGTCTACTACTTACAAACGAACGCCTACCAAGTATCTAGATATAATAGATATATAATGTTGTCGCATTTGCCCGAGCACAGTTTGTAATATCGCCGTTATTCACCTTTTTTTCTCTGATTTCGTTAATGACATAACTCTGTTGTGAAGTATCATTAGTGAACTTATTGTAGTACACGTAAGCCTAGAATATATATGAATATATATGCTTGAGTCGAAATAAAATATTTACGAATTTCTGGTCTGAGTAATAATTCTCTCATGTGAACGGCGCTCTCTCACTACGGTCTGCTCTTACGGGCGGCTCTCACTTCGGGATGCCGCCCATTTTTTTAACGCTTTAGCGTACCGATTTATATATACCGACGCGGAATGACATATGCTACCTAGTTAGGCTAGTAAAATGTGCGTGAAAACCCCCGCCCCTTCGTCGCCCTGTATATACTGACGAGAGCAGATTTTTGCGCAGGCACCGGTCTACTGAACAATAACAACAATAACAACAATAACAACATGGCGTCGCCGGGGCCGAGCAGCAACAAGCTCAGCGAGATACTGCGAACGGGTAGTCAACCGGGTTCGGCACAGCAATATCACGACGAGATGCAATCGCAGCAACAACGCATGGCTGTCATGGCTGCCGTCTCAGCGGGTAAGAGAAAAAAATAAATAAATAAATGACATAAACGATATATAAATAAAATCGTGTATAAATAAAATGTGATACGACCAACTAGAACTAGCCGTGCCGATCAAGCGTATGCCGCGCGAATCTCCGTGATAATCTGCGTTATCATGTTCTCAACGCGAAATTACACACGAGAGGGGAAAGCCGATAGCTCCGTTCCAATTATTATCGATAAAACTTGATTTATAATGTTGTTTCTCCACTCGCACGATGTTGCATTCGCACTGCTGCCCACTTTTCTCCTGTCTGCGATGCGAACTCCGAAGGCGGACGATTACAAGTGCACGGCTGCATTTGTTGCCGAGTGAAATGATTATCGATACCTCGTGCGAAATTACTTCGTGTGAGTTAATTTAATAAAATTTATCGCGCGCGCAGTTTCTTTCGCGATGCGCTGCGAAGTCGTAACTCATTGAGAAACTCACCGAAGAAACGGTGATAGGAAAAACAAATATCGGAATTCCTTACCACTAGCCCTTTCCTCTTTCTTTCTCTTTTTCCTCTTCCCACGATCAAAGTTGGCACGGGATGCATTTGCGAGCAACCCTCCTCGACACATGTTTCGCAGATCGTGGTTCAATCGCGATAGTTCAAGTTTCTGAAACATATTCTGACACATATGAAACACATTTAAAATTTAAAATTGCGAAAGAAAAGAATTCGTGTTGAAATACACTTTGAAATATCTCGAAACACATTTACAAGTTTGTAAACAGAAATGTATAGTAAAATATACTTTGCTATTATTATTATTTAGGAAGAAGTAGAAGAATATATCATACTTTCAAAAGTATGATATATTCTTCAAGAAAATTTTAAATCGTAAATGATGAGCGAAGAAAATTTGAAATTATTTTATATGATGAGATGTGAAAGCGATATTTTTGTTAGGATTGCAAAATTCCGTGTCGCCTAATCTCTCGCCGGTCGACATGGCGTCGCTCGCGGCGGCCATGAGAATGGGCAACAATGGTGACATGAGCGGTGGCACTCAAGGATCGACGGGACCCCAACAGCAAGGAGTTCAAGCGAGCGGACCGGAGCAGGCCCTGAGGATGCATCAGGCGGAAGCTCTGCTCCGTTCCCAAGCTGAAGCTGCCTTGAGACTCGCGGTAAGAAAGAAATCTTTTGTTCTTCGTAAAAACGATTAGATAGAAAGCAGACGCGTCTTACATTCGTCCAACCATTCGTCTCGAATATTCGGAACGTATGTTATAAAAGAATAATGCATAAATTACATTTTTTGCTCGATGAGGAAACAATAAAGGCGAAGGCTGAATATTTTTCAACTCTTCCTCACGTCTTTGCGGACAGGTATCTCAAGCGGCGGCAGCCGCGGCAAGTTCTGCGGTGGGCGGCGACGTGAGGCATCATCTGGGACAGCACAACGGAGGCAGCACTTCCGGCATGCCAGGGCATCATACGAATCAACAAATGTCCCAACAAGACACCTTAACGCCGGATCTCGGTAAGTATCACGGAATTCACGTCGACGGCATGCTATTACACGATCAACGTAGCGTTCAAGTCTCAGAACTCGTAGCTTCTGTGAGTTTCATGGCTTCCTTGATTCGCGATTAGAACTTCTAACGGGACACTCGACACTCGACACCTTTCAGGAGAAGCGTTACGGCTACAGGAGCAGCGATTAGAGCAGGCTCTCAGGCTCCACGGTGGTGATCCGCGCGCCCTGAGCTTCACTCTAGCCCAGCATGTCGTCAACCAGCAGAGCAATCAGCAACCATGAAAATTCAGTTACTACTGAGACGAGTGGACCCCTTGGGCGCCGGATCAGACGACCCTGCAGCAAAACGAGCGCATGAACCAACAGCAATCGTCAGCGGAACGTACGACACCGTTGCACGATCAACAGCATCAGCAGCAACAGCAGGGCCCGTCTTCCATCGGTCATCATCAGCAGCCGCAACAACAGCAGCAGCCTGAAGACCGTGGCGTCAAGAGAAAAGCCGACGAGATGATCGGTAACTCCGAGAACGCGTAAGGGCGATTACGATCGTTGCCGGCGACGTGACGGAACGTACGTCATCGTCGTCGCTGATGTAACTCGCCTCTGCGTCCAAGTGCGGTCACCAGAATTTCGCTCATCGTCTCAGCAGTAAGAAAACGTCAAACAAACGGAAGGACATTGTGAGAGAGAATGTGTACTTCGGTGTCTTCCTACTCGGATAGAACCGACATGAGGCCGGACCTCAACCGGAAACTGGCCGAGGGTGTCTCACCCTCCGGTCGACGAACTCTCCGGATGAGGCCGCGCTGGATGAAGGGAGAAGAGTGAGAATACGTACGTGTATAGCAAAACCGTTGCACGGCGCGAGACGGGCAGGATCGCAATGGCGACGGTCGTCTCTCTCGCGATTCCCTGTACGTATTTCCCGCACGGATGTTTCGCGTCGTTGTTCCTACACCGGTTCTGAATCCAAGGATCTGTCGAATGGACCCCGGCGAGGCGGCGTTTCCCACGTCGTCTTCGCGTCTCGTTAGGATTCTCAGGACACGTCGCCACTGCCATGCCGCCGTCTCGACTCCCGAAACGTGCCATAATAACTAACGAGAAGCTGGTTTTAAAAACAGAACAACAATAAGTCATCCCGGGCGTCCCGTTCCGGGATGGTCCGGGGTGCGCCCCGAGGTGTACTATGATCTTTTAGTACAAGAGCTGATCAAGCGGTACGCGACGGTGACGAGGGTCCAACGGGCGATCCTCGACCGTCTCGTGCTGGCCAGGCTCAACAAACCTAAACTATATATAAATATTATACATACATAGATACGTCTATCTCCACCGAACCGCGCTTAAAAGGTTCCACCCCCGTAATTCCCGTAATCGTAAAAAGAAAAGCCTCCCATAATGGTTAAAAGAGCGAGTCGCATACCAATAACACCCCACGTACGCAGGCTCATCGTGACGTGTGCGTCGCGCGGTCGCGGCGAACGTTCCACCACCGGCGAGTGGTGTCGTGTCGTCGCGTTGTACGGTTGTTAATTATATACGTACCGAAATCCCCTTCCCCGTGTGTGTGTGACAGACGGACGCGACGCAATCCGTACGGACGTTCTCTCACTTGCGATCAGCGTTTCGCGCGGCGACGACAAAGCAACGTTGACATTTCGCGGATGAGAAACGAACGTTGTCGGACGTAACGCGTCGGGACAGATACGTACGCGCACACACACACACACACACACACACACGTGTACTACACACCACACACGTAAATACATTACACATAACATTACACATATGTACACATGTACAATACATGTATTACAAAACTCATCAGCAGCACACTTTTAAGGTGAAGATATAATGCGCGCAACTTGTGCTCGTCGGTAGCACGAAAACTATTAGCTCGTAAGCGAACAAACAAAATATAGTTATTACAAACAGTTATATTATATATATTATATATACATACAGAGTATGAAGAGAGTATGACAGAGACAAAAAAAAAACGGGCGAAACCCATTCACACTTACACGTTTAACTGAAGAAGGTGCGGTAAGCGTGAAAGAGCGAGCATTTTTCGTGAGCAAAGCACGCGACGGAGAAGAGAGAAATAAAAAAACTAAATGCTAAATATTATATATATTATATATATAAATATTATAAATAATGAATATAGGGTCTATGAGACTAGGATTAGTTAGGCGAAAGGGAAAAACGAGCGAGTGCGGAGCGCGCGCCCACGTAGATTTTACGCGATTCCAAGCATTGTCGACGTGAGAATGCGACAGCACAGGGGGGGGGGGAGCGAGAAGGAGACGGTTGGAGAACGTGTGCGTAAGCGAGAAAGAGTGGGAGAGCGAGAGAGGGAGAGAACGCGACTCGAATACGTGAATGATTTTACGAATGAACGACCTTGGGATCAGCGTAGACGCGCGGGCGCGCCATCGAGCGAACGGGCAGATCGAGTAAATGTGAATGCTTCGTGAGCATCAAGGAGGAGCGAATGTGAAGACGAGAGTGAGACTTTAGAGTGGCGTGCTTCAGGTAATCTGAGGTCCTGTGATCGTTATAAGCGAAATATTTTTTTATTTCCGGGTAATATAATCTGAAACGCGCGTAAAACTCTTGCGTCGTTTTGAACTTTTACTTGCAATATACCATTACGTTCTCGCAATACTTAGGATGAAGAAGAATAAGAAGAAGACGAATAGGAAATAAAGAAGGTGGATGAACAAAAAAAAGGAACAAAAAGCAAAAGATGATACGAAGATGAGGATGACGGGAGAGAGGAAGAATATGAAGAAAAATCCATAGGTTTGATCGTGGAGCGAACTTTTAGAGACTCGAGCCAATCCCTTGCCCTCCTGCAACAATCCTTTTCACGGCATCATTCCAAATCTCCAAAGCCAACCAAATTTTCCACCCTGTCCATTTTTCCTTGATCAATCTTTGACCAAACTCGTGTATCATCCGTATTTTCGATGGGGTTATATCTTTCGATAAGACCAAACGAGACGCTGACTGTAAAATATCCCGGAGAGAAACACCTTTTTCGTTGGAAATAATTTTCTCGGAGCGCGAATTCCCAAGAGAAAGCAAAAAATCGACGGAGATTTAAAGAGGCAATTTAAAAAAATCAAAGGAAAAAAGAAGCAAAGAAGGGAAAACATTGAAAAGTCGATTCGATGAGCATTCACCTACGATTCGATTTCTTCGGTTCTTCGACTGGCAATCGCGGATTAATAGAGTGCGGAATTGAATGGTAGCGTGCCGAATTTGTTTATGCATCCTTGAATATCAACGTTGACCGCGTTTTACTGTTATTGTTTCCTTTCGGAAATTGTCGATGAGGTCTTTCGTTTTTTTGGGACCGGCTTGTTTTTGAAAATTAACCTCCCGACCTCTTCCAATCCTTACTTTCTACCCGAAAAAACTCTCCCTTACTTCCGAAATCACGACTTCCCAAATCCTGTCAAATGAAATTTCGCCTACGAATATAATTGATAAAATCTTTTCTCTCGCTACGTTTGGAAATCGTTCTTTCTGGGAAACAAACTGTAAGAAATTGTCTAAAACAAAATTCTTCCCTTTCATGATGTATATATCCCCTTACCATCTTTCATGTCCATTTGTTCGCCAATTACGAAAATAACCTAACGTCGTCATCTTCGTTGAACGTAAAAGACACGCGCCGAAAAGCCGCCGGATAGCTAGGCTTTTTGACCATCTGGGACGAGAGATGAAAAGATCGCTAAGGGATTCATCGTCAAAGCTACATTTAACGATCGCACTCGTCTCGCGATTGGAACTCGACGGATACGTTCCGCGGTACGTTCTCTTAAGAAAAATTTGCAAAAATTTGCGACTTCCTCGAAACTGTTTCTCACTGTTGGGATTAATTATATGCAAAATATGAATTTAAAAATTGGAAAAAATTGGAGAAAATTTCTAATGTTTGAATTTATCTTCATTTTTTGCAAGAGAGAGAGAGAGAGACAGAGACAGAGAGAAAGGTATGAGCGGACTTCCTCGAGTTCCAGCGATCGCAACCGCGGGTCGATTCATTGATCGTTATTATTAAAGTTTTTGCGTTACAGGGCGTTTTTTCCTCGGATTAAGTAGTATGTAAATACACCTTGATATCACAAGCATAAACTGAGAATTTACTGGTAAACTTAAACGAACGTACATAATGCGAAATAGGGTTAGTTTCTATGTAAATACCTAAAGCTGGACGAGTGCATACACCTCGTTCACGCAACCAACGATAATCGTTTCTTATCGAACCAGAGCTTCTGTTCGTCGTCGATGCGTGCCCACGACGATCAGCGATCGCTTCCGCCTGTCCGGTCTCGCTACCGCCCCCCCCCAGGGGTGGACTTTACATCTGCGAGAAAGGGTCATAGAAGCGTTCGCTATCGTTCGGGCACCACCGATCGGGAAATTCTTTTTTTTTTCTCGACACTGATACTCTGACACACTAATACACTTACACACAGACACTTACACTATACGGCATTGCGATGGATTGTACAGCTAGGAATACATTTAAAATGCAATCGTCGCACATTTCGACGCCCACTTAACATCGTAGGGATCGATTTTTCGAAAAATTTCCATTGGCAAAAATTCGCGAACATTAAAATATATAACGGGTAAAAAGTTTCTACTCTTCCAAGTGAAAAATGCGAACGTGCTACATGACACTGAGAATGGAAGAAAATTTAAAAGAGAGTGCGGATGCAAAATTAATAAATTTGGAAATCTGTTTAGCGAAAGAGTGCCAGTCAATATCGGAGCGAGTTTCAGAATGAACGATGGAGCGAATGAAATAGAATTTAGTCAGGCAAGGCTGTTAGCACGTGTCGCGCGGTTGAAACGCGACGTAAATTTTCGAGTCAAAATTCGCGAGTCAACAAACGATTTTTAAATAAATCATAATTTCATTTTGCGATCTCTAATTGAGCGTCGAAAGATATCGAGAACGGTGCACGAAACGGTAGTAAAAGCGCGAAAGAGCGAAATAAGAAACGGAAGGATGGAAAGGGACATCTGCGTTACTACTCACCACCATCTCACTATCACCATCACCAAAAGAATAAAAAAAAAAACAACAACGACAACAATACAAAACACTACCACCACTACCACGTCGAGATCCTTCATGATGATCGCGGTCATGAAACGATTGACAGACGGACTGTTTTCGACCGGTGCATCCTGCCGTGCGCCGAGGGTTGCTTTTTCAATCAGTAAAGCGACACGATGATCGGGATAGCTATCAAGTTACCCCCCGATCACAATTAAATCGTACATCCCCGCGCGAAAAGGAAGAATTCCCGAGGCGCCGGCCCATGCCCCGCGAACGTGTACCATAATTTTAAATTTAAACGAAAGGTAATGCAAAAAAACACAAGCGCGTTAAACAATAGATCTAGTAGTGTATGTTCTGTAATCAACTGAGAAGTAAGCGAGGATAAAGATAAAGAAAAAGTAATAATAAAAAAAATGCGGGTCACACCGCAAAAAAAGCACAAAAAAATAATTTACAAATATATTGATTTACATATGCCCGTAACTCGTAAGGGGGCCGGTGGCGCAAACGCGCCCGCGTGAGATTTTCGGGCTCTACGACGACGAAGGAAGACAGGGAGAAGAAGAGAAAGAGGAAACGGCGGGACACGCGGCGTCCGCGAGCCGCGACGCAAGACGAGCTCGCGGTCATAAAGCGGAAGCGGATATAACGCGAAAGACCGTGGAAAATCTAAAGAGATAGTTGGGTCGTCCGTCTTCGTCGCGAGAGAGGCGAGCCGCGAAAAGACGATTATTAGGGAAGCGACGAAAAGCGGCTGAACAGCGACGAGGTACAAGGGAGACAGAGGCTCATATACGTCTCACGACGGAAGAATCTCCGGAAAGGAAAATCCCCGAGACGTCACGGACGACCCGAAGATATAAGCGCCCGACCGTAGCCCACTCGTGGAAACACGACAAAGTACGAAGTAGTCGAAAAGAGGCCCATTAATGATGATAAATATATATAAATATATATATATATATATATACACAGAAAGGTATATATGTATATATATATATACGTACATGAGGAAAATCTACAGCGCGACGTTGCCTGCAAAATCGGCCCTATCCATAATCTTAATCTCTTTCATGTAAATTTGCTAAATGTTTAAATAATCTAAAAAGTGCCATAGCCCGGATGCGCTGGTGCATACTCCCAGCGCATACACACTTACAAATACGACTCGACCTTCACGAATCAAACGGAAAATCCGCGGATACGTGCGCGCGCAAATGCGCGCGCGCGGCCGCGGTAGAATTGGTATTCTCGCCAAGGAACAAATACAGTGTAACAACAGTGACAGAAACCAACGCAAACAGAACACCCCCATAAGATGAGCGGCGCGCGCTCCACGTCGCCGCGGTGACGCAGGGGCGACGCGTCCCCCAACGTCACACAAGTTCAAAGCGAAGTTGCCCTGGTCCACGAGCGTGCAACCCCGCGCGCTCAAACAGTTCTCAATACACGAGCACGTGCGCGTGCGTGCGTGCGCGCGCGCGTGTTCACACGTATAGTTACACGTTACAAGAACACAATTTTACACTTCTTATATACTTGAAGCACACTTGTCTACACACTTAACTACACACGCTACGGATATGTAAAGCCAATTGATTTTGTAAATTGTCTAAAAACGAATTTTTGAAAAGACATACGATTCGGCCCAGTAATAACATTATAGTTTCGCGCGCGTCACGCAGAAAACGCCGATCCCCCTCGGAAAAGCTCCGGCCCTTCTCGAGAGAGGGAGGCCTGCTTTTCAGGGAGAGACGCGTCCTCTCGGGCGCCGCGTTGAAAAACATTGATCGATTTTTCACGGTAATTTTGAGAAGAAAGAGCAAAAATTCGTGGATGATATAATATCACACGCGTTTGTGCTCGTAGTCCTACGTAATAATACGTAGTAAACGCAGTAAAATTTCGCGGCCTTTGGCATACGTTTGGATGCAATACCGATGATGAACGGTGCGTACGTACTCGCGTGAGATACGCGCGAGTGCGCACGCCCAAAACGCGTCCCGGACTTGACACGAGAGTACCCGGATATGACGTGTGGGCGGCCTCTTCGTCGGGCTACGTCCCGACGACGGACAGGTGGCGAGGTGCCAAAGAATCTCGTCAATGAGAGTGGACGAGAAGAGAAAGCAGGAGAGAGATAGAGAGAGAAAGAGAAGGTGATCTCGAATAGAGGGAGAGCGGTGACAGGCAAAGAGGCGAACGAAGTTCGAGATGAAGTTCGAAGCCCTTTGGTCGAGAAGTGTAGAGAAAGAGAAAAATAGAATGGCACCTTGGATGCCACCGGGAGACCCCTGTTCCACGAGACGCAATCACGAAAGGTGTAATAACTACATAAGGAACACACAACCAAGAGGAATATGGCAGCGGCAATTGCATAAAGGGCCGTTGTTCGAGTGCGGCTTTACAAGCAAAAACCGTTGGTTTGTTTTTGATCGGGTTTTAATTTTTAATGAAATAATCTCACGACGCGCGAATACATATCGCGTACGATCGCGCGCGCGTGCGCCCAGCGCATGGATTTTGCCGCGCAACTGAGATTGTTGCGCGGCAATATTTGTTGGGGGCAACGGCACGACGTACGACGTATGTGCATATTATTCGCGGCAGTGTGTATCGTAAGTGCGCAGCATATGATAAAACCGACAGTCTAGCAGTGCGAGCGCCTCGGCGGCATTCGCGTCTTCACGCGGTGACCCTGACCGAGCCTCCGTGATTAAAAACCGGAATAAGTTGTTTAAATGTCCACTATATAAATGAAAGAGCCATAGTTGTTAAGGCGGTGGGTTCCGACGTTCGGCGAGTCGATTTGACCTTACATTGCACACGCGTTCGTCCTGGCCCCAGAGAGAGAACTTCGAGAGAGATGACGGCGATGAGTCAACGGGGAAAACGCGCGAGAGATAGATATCGAGACACCAACGACCGCGAAAACTTTTGGCACACCGGCAAAATTCCCGCGAGGTTCCTGGCAGATCGAAACGATCGAGGTGGTCGAGACAATCCGATTTGGAAATTTGGCATCTAAATGTGACATTCGACAATCAAAATTTGTTTAATGCTAGTTTAATTCCATGTTCTCGCTACATTTTTAACATGATTGTCTGATTCTTGTCTTAAAAAAAAAGAAAAAAAAAGAAAAATAATGTTCAATGCCAATGAAAAAGATAAAAGTCAGGCAGCCATGTGTTTGGTGATTGTCACGTGTAGCGAAAATGTGGATCTTTTTCTCGGCTACCAAGCGGAGATGGAAAAGAGACAGAGCGAGATGATAAAGTCGGGTAAACATCGGGAATGGAGAGTATCCAGAGACTCTAAACCTTATGATCGATCGAAGTCGTGAAGAAGTAGCGACTGCCATGATCCCAAACAATCCACACAATTGACGGTCGATGACGACGAGCGTGCGGACCCATCGCGCTGTCTCGTCACAGATAGATCACACGGTTCTCATCGTGCGATCTCCCCGTGGCGAGGCGATACTCTTTTCAAAATATTCTTCATATTTCCGTTCAGGAAAATGTGTTTCTTTCAACCTGAATCCGAGCAACCCCCCGTATGCGTGTCCGAGGTGAAAAGGCCGAGTCCGTTTATTTGACGCTAAATCAAAAAACAAAGGAGATAACCGCACGACAGACGTATGATTGACGGATATGAAAAATTGCGAATTTATCAAAAGCGTATAAAATTGCATAGAATCGGCATAGAAAAAAAAAGCTGTAACACGAGAATGTGTAAGATGAATTAGTATTACATTGTCCGCTGAGTGGGTGCCTTCGTCAGGGTTTTTCGTTACAGTAAACAGACAGTTCTCAAGTATAACTCACAATTAGTAGTACTATGGTAGAACAGTAATCACAGTGTACCGCAGTTAAACAGTTAAATAAGTAAGTATACGGGAAGCACGTGGTCTTTTTCAGTGTCTGCAGAATCTCGTCGTATACCACCTACCGTTAATCGGGTAGTGGCACGACCGGAAGTATACCGGATTCATTTCGTGCGCAACTTCCTACCAAAACCTCTCCCGTCCCAATCCACCGTTTGGCTAAACATTTCCCCAGACGACCTCTAATCTTTTGGATCTCGAACGACCGGTACAAAAAAATATTTGTTCGTATTATCGAGAAGAAAAGTACGTCTTAAAAGCCAAATTCAAAAAAAAAAAAAAACCCTCCAACCTTACCAAACCGGTCGCTCACAACCTTTCCCTCCGCAATTCAATCGACATTTAACAGATAAATATGATAATAAGTGTACTAAGTGTCTGTAGTTTAGCCAACGTGTACGTTGTATACTCTGAGATAGGCGCGAGAAAGCGAGCTGACGAAGGAGAAATGGAGCGCAGAAATGGGGCGAATGGAGCTGGAGATAGGAGGAGAGAGATAGACGATTGCACGGTGGAGCCATATTTAACTAACTGATAACGATTAATTAATTACAGTAATCATTCAAGATGACTTAATTAACAGTTAACCGTATCGCATACACACATGCATAATTATTAATTACACGTACTCCAGTATATAAGTAAGGGCCGAGTGGTAGCGCCGCGCATACCGCGCGCACCGCATCTATTCAATAAACGAATCGCGGAGGCACTCACTACGGAGATCAACGAGCAGGGACTTTGGGACTCGGACGCGAATCGGAGGGTACCTGAACACGCGAGCCGGGATCCCAGATCGAAATTGTTCGTCGAGTATTCACCGTGTGGAAAAGAAAAGGGGAAGGAGAGAGAGAGAGAGAGAAAGAGAAAACAACAAGTCCGACGATTTCGGGAGGCCCGTCCGCCTCTTCCGGCGTCAGATTGGCTCAGTTTGACTTTCACAGAATCGTTTCAGTTCTCCTACGACAAAATCGCAAACGCATTCGGGCAACGCGTGTTCAGGTGTCCCGCACCCCATTACTTTATTGGTCTTTCAAGTGCAACGTTGAGTTATTTCACTTACAACGTTGTTTTTCTACACAATACAAAATACCCCACCACCCGTCCCCACCGGCGAACCAATCCACCTCATCACGCTCCCGCAGGAACAAAGCATCCCCTTCACCCACCGCCCCAACCACTCATCCCACCATATACAATGTTGTCTCACGTCCGTTCGCGATAAACTTGGTTGCGAGTTCAGCGGCAGTCGCGCTCCGTTCCGCGTTAGAGGAAATTAAAAAAATATCGGGTAACCCTTTTTATTAAAAAAAAAAAATTTGGAATTTTGGAACGCTTACGAAAATATTATCAATTTATTTCTATCTCCTAAAAAAAAAATTTCGAAAATTTTTGGTGAAAGTCATTCAATCCATGCACCTGTTATTCTGTGCATCTCGACAATGAAGAACGGAGCGTGACGACCTCGACTCCAAAAAAAAAGCGAACGTTAAGTTCAGAATTCAGACTTTTACGTACA